TTGTCTATTGAAAACTTCAATGAAACTTGAATCAAAGAAATTTGATGGGATCTTATTTATAAATAGAAAATAAATTTTATATAATGTATTCTCAAAGTATATATCTGTAGACTAGAGAACTACAGATTGTAGTTCTGGTTATAAGTATCTACATTCAATGTAGAATAACATGTAATGGCAATAAATTTAGAATTAATTACGAATTAGAATAATGTAATTGTGACTTTTAAACTATTATATATGAAAGATATTTAAGTGGAATTTTACGTACAACATATTTTTATACTTGTATTACTTAAAGGTTATCTAAAAAATTGGAACTGCAATTGCAAAATGAACCAAGTACATCAAGCAAAAATGCACTTTTTTATCTCATAAAAATCTTTATCCTTAAATTAGATAACGAACTATATTATTTATTTTCTGACAATATAATTATAGTGAAAAATACGGCTTTATAATCAAATTATTTGTAGAATAAGTTAGGATTAACATATACCTAATTTATTATATAATTAATAGTTTTAATATGAAAATAATATAAAAAAAATCGAACCAAGTATAGATATTTGAGAAACTATTTTGATTAAACCTTTAGAACACACCAAGAAACATATTTTTGTATATTCTTCATTAATGTTGTTTATGTTTAAAAATAGAAAAGACTTCGCGGAAAGATGTACGACGTTCTATGTCATATTCAATAACTCGAAAACCATGGCGATAATACTATGTGGAGAGCGTATTGGTATTGTAACTTTCAGAACGATTTGTTAAATTACAAAACATTTGTAAATTAATCAAGATCGCAGAAATATATTAATATATGCCAAAAAAATCGAAAACAATAAATTTATTTTGAAACAATTAAATGTGTATTAGATTTGTAATTTCTACAACGTACATATTAAAAAAAAAAAATTTATTGTTGCTTCATCTTAATCATAATATTACTTATGTATTAAGATGTAACACTTTTTTAAAAAGCAAGCAGTGCACGACTTCTCTCTTGAATTGATCAGGCCAGCTCTGAAATTACTAAAATACCATATATCGTATAAAATACAATATATCGTATACAATATCAATACAATAAATCGTACTGATATACATACAGTGACATTTTTCACGCAACCTACATGACCGGAAATTGTAACCTTCCTTCTGATTAGGATACAAGTATCCGAACGTGTCTATGAATTCTCGGCTCAAAAAATCAGTCATACCCAACTGTACCCAGTCTTTCTTCTAGGATATATCCAGCATTTTTAACTTCCCGAAGGAAGGGTTTGTTTTCATCAAAAAATCCGATTCGCTAATTTTATGTTTTCTCGACGTTTCAAGCCATTCTGAATCGAATGAGACCAAATTTGGAAAAAGTATGTGTATGTGTGTGTGTGAACAGATTTTTTGCCGTAAATCGACGTTTTCTAAAAAAAAACTAAATTATAAAGTATATCTGTATATAAATGATAAACAGCTACAGAACTATTCTACTACGCATACAAAAAATGCGGGCGCACGCCTTAGGGGGCGCCAAAACGAGTTTGGAAATTAAATTATAATATATTATTTATATTTTTTATTATTTATATAAAATCTGGAATACTTGATAAATTATAATAAACAATCTAACTTAACTAGGGATACGGAGACACAAAAAGCATATTTATTTTGCAATGTGATATCAGTAGAAACAATTAACCGATTAATAACTGTGCAATTAGTAAATTGATCTGTTTATTGCTTAATCTACTTATTCATTTTTTCTTTGTTTGAAGTTACCGTGGAATCGAAAAGAAATTATCTAGTGTTCAATCCCATAAGCGCAAACCTGCGAAAGATTAAATTAATTGTTGGGATTATTGACGAAAAATTGCGAGCTGATTTAGTTGAAACAGAACTTGTTAAAAATATAAACAAATTATAATCGGGATAATGACTAATCGGGATACTTTTGTTTTTGTTGCAAACGTTTCGCATCTGCTGAACTTTGAAAGACATGCGTGGTTAGGGATATGAAAATGGAACAAATATGAAAAATGAAAGCAAAAATTTACTTTGGAACGAGAAGCTTAAGGCTTTTTTTATACCTAGTGGGTCTTCAATTTTTCAATGTGTTCCACAAATTTGATTTTAACCATTTTGCAGTACTAAAAGAGAAAACAATAAGCTTTTAAATTAACGCTAATAATAAAGTAATTAACAAAACGCACTATCCGAAAACATTATTGAAAATTATTTTTTATCCTTTTTAGCTAATAATAAAGGATTATTAAGCATATTTTACTATACATTATGTGGTTTAAGCCAGTATGAGTATAATCACGTAATTTTTTTTTCGATATCTTTTATGGTTACGCCAAAAATTGAGTTTGAAAAAGGGGCCACTTTGGCATATTTTCAATGACATCTCGGCCATAAGGTGAGATACAAAGTTGAAGTTTGGTATAACGGATATTTTCAAAATGACCTTCAAATGGCGTATAATATTAAATACAAATACAAGGGTATTAGTCAATTATGTATGGCAATGCGCCACACCCTTGCGCGTCGTGACTATTATGTACTCGTCTGGCAGACCCTTGCAACCGTCAGAATGGGCTGGCTTTTTACATATGCTTTCTGAACAGTTAAAAGAAGACACCCTCAAAATTTGAGCCTTGTGCGAGCAAGTTAAAAAAAATTTTTTTTTTACATTTTCACAAATTGAAGGGATGATGACGCAACCGCGGAATGACTGCCAGAATGGTACTTTCTTAATGGGCCGATAATAAAATATCATTAAAAAAATTTCTGGCTTTGTGAAAACAGGTTAGTCAAATAGTTCACTGGCTTTTAGACTATAAATGATAAACAGCTACACGAACTATTCTACTACGCATGCAAAAAATGCGGGCGCACGCCTTAGGGGGCGCCAAAACGAGTTTTGGAAATTAAATTTATAATATATTATTTATATTTTTTATTATTTATATAAAATCTAGAATACTTGATAAATTATAATAAACAATCTAACTTAACTAGGGATACGGAGACACAAAAAGCATATTTATTTTGCAATGTGATATCAGTAGAAACAATTAACCGATTAATAACTGTGCAATTAGTAAATTGATCTGTTTATTGCTTAATCTACTTATTCAATTTTTTCTTTGTTTGAAGCTACCGTGGAATCGAAAAAGAAATTATCTAGTGTGCAATCCCATAAGCGCAAACCTGCGAAAGATTAAATTAATTGTTGGGCATTATTGACGAAAAATTGCGAGCTGATTTAGTTGAAACAGAACTTGTTAAAAATATAAACAAATTATAATCGGGATAATGACTAATCGGGATACTTTTGTTTTTGTTGCAAATGTTTCGCATCTGCTGAACTTTGAAAGACATGCGTGGTTAGGGATATGAAAATGGAACAAATATGAAAAATGAAAGCAAAATTTACTTTGGAACGAGAAGCTTAAGGCTTTTTTTATACCTAGTGGTGTCCATATTCTAAAATTACTTGTAATTGTGAAGTTTACGACGCAATTTTGGATATTGTAAATAATGAAAAATTAAATTAACGTAAAATTTAAAAAATCCAACATGAAATACGAATGTTATGATTGAAAATGAAAAGCTAGTTTTTTTAGTTTTCTTTGCATGTTTGCTCAATAGAATAAATAGCATAATAAATAAGTAAAATGTTTCAAAACCCAAATATTAATAATGCAATACGTTAAAAATAATTGAAAATTCAAAAATATTTGATTATAATCAACCCGCGAATGGCCTAGATTTTCTAAATAAATTTAAAATCAATATATTTTATACGCTTTAGATTATATCTAATTTGTAATACTTAATAGCCATTATAAACGAAAAACATGTAGATTTCCTCTAAAATTTTAAAAGTGTCTGAGATATAATTCTGAAAAAGATGTATCTTCGGCATGTTAGAATAAAGCTATACTGCTTTAATATTTTTTAATATCTATAAAAATGCAAAGAATTTTTATGTTAAACTACGCCTAAATAAATATTGTTTTCACAATTTCACTTGTCGTGTAATTGCGTTGGCGATACAGTTTCATTCTTTGAACAGTTGTAGTATCTGTCTTGCATATAAAAATAATTTTCATTTTAATAACCTCAAAAATATATAGTAACCACGAATAATACAAAGTACTTCAATAAACTTGCGTGTCTTACACGGCACAGATTTTTCATTTGCTTTATTATTTGCACTATAATTATTTATACGGGACGGGATAAAATATTCTTCCGATCCAGACATTTTTTATTAACTCAAGATTTGTACTAATATAATATTTAACCTTAAAATGTAATGACATGAAACACCGATAAATGAACAATATGCTTCACGATTTTGGTTCGATTTTCGTACACACGTATAAAGTCACGCATACCAAGAAGCCTCGCACAAATACGACCAATCACAATCGAACCCGTATAGTGATATCATCGAGAGCGAATGACAAATCAATGGCACGCGACCTTGCCGTAACTCAGTTCCGTTGCATTTGTACGGATTCACATCCATGTCGCGCCTAAAGAAGTTTTACTTAAAAACAAATCGTCCACGTTTTAGCTCGCAATTCTGAATCGATTTTGAAAATTCAAATACCGTTCGAAAGATATTGGTAGGGAATCGTGCTGATTAGATTTTGGCATAGATCGGCCGGGCCGTTTTCTTGTAATAAAGTGTTAAAAAAAAATTCGACGATTTTTATGACTTTTTTTGTATGACCAAAGTCTTATATCTGCGGATCAGGACTCTAACATTAGTGTCGCACAGCAACTGAACGAGGTACTGCCAGCGGGGCGATTTGTGCATATAAACAAATTTGCGCCATTAGCTTGTGCTGAACAAGATGAAGAAAATAGTAAAATCGAAATGGAAGATGAATTTGTGACTACTAAACGCAAAAAACCTAACCCAACCGAACCGGAAACCTCAAAAAAAACAAAAAGAAGAACAATTTACCCAAAAAACAATGCCTGTAGTTTTAGATGATTTAGGAAAAAATAATTATGTTAAACTTCTGGCAAAACAGTGTAAGAACAAATTGCAAGTGCAATACAAAGGAAAACTGCACTACAGAATCACCACATACAGCGAAGGGGATTACAAAAAAGTGTACGAAAGTTTGAAACAAGACATCAAGAAATTTTACACTTTTCCACAGAAGGGATCTGAGTTTATAAAAATTGTTGCTGCAGGAATTCCACCTTACGTAACAAGTGATGAAATATATCAAGGACTGATCATAGAATTCTGCAGAATTGAGAAAGCTATTCAAATGACTAAAACCAACGTATTAGGTGAAAAAATCAAACTACCAGTGTTCGTACTTTTCTTTCATCATGAACAGGATATGGCTCGTATTAGAAACAAAAAACACTTAGCAGGGTACGCAGTCAAATGGGACAAATATAGATCAAATGGAAACATTACACAGTGCTACAACTGCCAAAATTTTGGTCACACTTCCTCTTATTGCAACCTTCAGAATAGATGTGTGAAATGTACAAAACCCCACGAGGCGTTCAGCTGCCCCAAAACCAGAGCGGAACCAGCGCAGTGCATCAACTGTTTAGGCAACCACCCCGCAAATTTCAAATCTTGTCCGAAACTACTGGAAATCAAAGCTAGAAGAGAACAACTGAAAATCAAGGCCAGACAAAATGTCTATTTTCCGGCACCTGCTCCTCTACCGTTAACCAGAAAATTCAATGCAGTGTTACAACATGGAGAGTTTCCAGCGCTACCTGAGCGAATGACAAATACCCTACCCTTACCTCAGAATCCAGTTCCATCGCCGCACCCTCAACAACAAGCCGCTCTGGATCAAGAAACAGGTACACAACCGCAGGCCAATAATTTTAATTTATCAGGTATCGTTTAAATTCATTCAAGAGGTTTTTGCAAAACCGGCAATAAAATTATCTCTTGAAAAAATTTTAAAATTAGCCCAAACTTTAAATTCAGCAATTGAAAATGAATATGATAATATATTAATTAATCATTTTATCTTTGGGAAATGATTTTAAAAATTAACGAATTAAATATACTTTACTGGAATGCACGCAGCATTAAAGCTAAAGCTTCTGAATTTAAACTATTACTTACTCATAACAACATACACATAGCATTGGTTTCCGAAACGTTTTTAAATCTCTTGAAAAAATTTTTAAAATTAGCGCAAACTTTAAATTCAGCAAATGAAAATGAATATGATAATATATTAATTAAACATTTTATCTTTGGGAAATGATTTTAAAAAATAACGAATTAAATATACTTTACTGGAATGCACGCAGCATTAAAGCTAAAGCTTCTGAATTTAAACTATTACTTACTCATAACAACATACACATAGCATTGGTTTCCGAAACGTTTTTAAAGTCACATATAAATTTTTCTATTTATGGTTACAAAAATTACAGGAACGATAAAGATGACATCAAAGGTCGTGGAACCGCTATTTTTATCAAAAATAACATCCCACATACCCATATTCCTACCCCCGTTCTTAATAATATAGAAGCAACAATTATTTCAATAAAAGTCTAAATTGGGACAAATAGCTTTTATTTCCGAAAAAAAATAAAAACCAATGTCACACCACAATTTTGTAAAAAGTCTTGTGAAACAGTTGAGAGGTGATTTTCGAAAATCTCAAACATTTCCATCTACATCGTTCTCCGACAATATACAGTCTAATCAGTGGCATGTTCTAAATTCGAGAGACAGAAAAAGAGATTGTATTGTCTGTTCTGACAGAAAAGAACCAGGAGGAAGGCGGCGAACAACATTTTATTGTGAAACCTTTCCAAATCAACCCGCTAGCAAGAAAAATTTTGGAGCCTAGCGTATGCGGACGATCTGGCAATTTTGGCAACAAGCGAAAAAGACTTACAGGAAACAATGAAGCGGCTAGAGCGATACTTGGAGAAAAGGAAATTGGTGTTGAATGAGGAAAAGTCGAAAGTTATGTTTTTTAAAAAAGGGGGAGGGAGAAAAAAAGTACAAACTGTCTATGGAAAGGGGTCAATATAGAAGAAGTTAAAGAGTTTACGTATCTGGGGTACCATTTTACAAAAAGTGGAAAAATCAAAGAAAATATAAAAATCTGACTAAAAAAGCAAACACAGTAATGAGAAGTACGTGGAGCCTCGGCGAAAAATTATTCCACAATAACTTCAGCAGAAGAATAAAGATGTTTGACAGTTTGGTAGTCGGAGTGTTGGCTTACTGCGCAGAGATTTGGGGTTAGAGAGAGATCGCAGAGCTCGAAAGAGTACAGAAGAGATACTTGAAATAGATACTTGGTCTGGAGTCCTGTACTTCAGATTATGTACTCTATGAGGAAGTAAAACGAGACAAATTACATCTGAGATTAGCTAAGAGAGCGATTAATTATGAAGAGAAACAGTTAAAGACAGGAGAGAATGCCGTAGTGAAGGAGTGTTTTAGCGAAAGAAGAAGAGATAAAGGAGATAAAGAGAGGTTGGATGAAAGGAGAAGATATATAAACAAATGTGGATTAGGCCAGGAGGGCATAGTTCAGCTGAGTGAAACCGGAGCGAATGTTGGAGAGATACTGCGGGAGAGAGGAAGCGAGGTACAAAGTCAAGAGCACTGGAACAAACTGGAAAGATCCAGATACAATAGAAAGTAAAGAGAAATAATGACAAGTGGACGTCCGCTGGAATCTAAGAGGCTGGAGCAATGGTTGCGATCAGAGATTAATTGCGCGGTATAGATGTGGCACCATGGAGAAAAATAACAAACACTGGCTGAACCCTGAAGAACGAAGGTGTGAGCTGTGTGGGAAGGATGAGGACACGGTTGAGCATTGGAAAGAAAGATGCGCGATGTTAGAGAGAACAAGCATTTCTATAGAAGACGTTTACTGTAGCAAGAATGACAAGGAAAGTCTAGGCTGGTTGAAAACAATCAATCGCATGAAGAAAACAAAGAAAAAAGAGTTACTTGGGCAACCAGTCTAGAACGAGCGCAACGGTAAAATGACTATGCCGCCGGCGGCATCCAAGTCGAAAGGGTTAAACTTGGTCAGTCCTGACTTTCTTATCTACTGATGCGAACGATCAGTAACGCGTTAACCAACTCAGCTGTACCGATATGACGCGCAACACTATTAGCGGATGTCTATCGGATCTAATCAGAATTTCTGCCCTTTTTACTCTCTATCTTCGAAACGGCTAGAACTGCCTATACCAAAAACTAATCAGTACGTCTCCACATCACTACGAATCGAATGTTTATTGAATCATTCAAATCGAACTATTTGTTCTCTCAGAACCTGCCATTTTTTGCACTTTTTGCTCCGTATCTTCAAAATGGCTAGACCTGCCTTCGCCAAAAACTAATCGGCACGTCGAATCGAATGATTTTTGAATTATTCAAATCGGTTGATCGGTGTTTCCGAAATCGTCGACGAAAGTTTGTATCCGCACACACACACACATACACACAAACACACACACATGCATCCATTTTTTCTAAGGTATGCCAAAATATTCAGAAACCTTTGAATCGTAAAGATATATAAAAGTTTTTATTTTCGATTTCCCTACGGGAAATTATAAATTTGGAAAAATATAAAAATGATAATTTCTTTAAATTTATAATCAACGATAGTGATATATTTCTTAATAATTTATAGAATGAAAAAATATTGTGAAAGACAGATCAAATTGCTTATTCTAAAGTCGTATTGATTTAAGTATATTATTAACACATTTTGGGAAGTTCATGCAACTTGCCTTAAGGCTAAAACCATAGATAAAAGAAGAGTATAGCTTTCAACTAGTTCTTATTTGTCTTTGGGTTTGATAAATATACTTCGTTATGAGCCACATTTACATCACACAATATTAATATTGCTTTTCTTTTGTCAAGATACTTTATATACTCTGCAAACACCTTGTTTTACTACAATAGTGTGGAAAGTGCCACTAATATTCCTTTGCCGTATTTGCATGAATACACTGAATGAATTGTATTCTGCAACAGCTATTTGTCATATTTTATAATAATTTTTATAATCAAATTGAACAACTAGCTGTAAGTGGAAATCTGTCTTAAGCCAATTAAGGCATCGTGCCTTAAGGCAAATTGCTGGAACTTCCCGTACCGCAATTTAAAATTCGAGTAATTAAAAATAATCAATAATAATCAATAAGAGTTGATCAATGATTTGAAACTTTAGAATTTCGAATCATATTAAATCGTTCTATCTTAAATCATTTATTTTGAAGTATTTTGGAAATTCTGAACTTTTTTTCAAAGCAATCGTACTGCTTTAACTACATAAAGACGAAATATTGAAGCGCGCAAGCGCCGCGTCGCCATCTAATGGATAAACATTAGTACGAAACCCATAGGAATGTAAACAAAATTTATACTTATTGTTAAAATTTCTATAAAATATCTGATAATTCGCTTACTCAAAAACGGCATGATCTTTTTTTGCACCCTCTGCTCCAACAAACTGGTACTAAAATGACAGCGCGACCGCGCTTCGTACCTGTTCTAGAGACAAAATATCAATACGCATAAGTGATAGCGCGCGTAGCACTAAAACAATATAATATTTGTATTTATTATTAAAATTTATATAAAATATCTGATATTCTGATGTGCATATGTCTAATGTTCATTTTTGACCGCCAAATGGCTCATTTTTTTACTTTTTCCTCCATATCTCCAAAGTCGTTGGACCTGCCTTTCCAAAAATTTGTACAGTTCTTCATTTCGTGAATACAAATGTTTTTTGAATTATTCAAATCGGACGCTCCGTTCTCTTAAAAACTGAGTTACCGTTTTCGGCACTTTTTGCCCCGTATCTTCGGAACGGCTAGACCTGCCTTCGCAAAAAACTAATCAGCACGTCTCCTCATCAATACGAATCGAATGTTTTTTGAATTATTCAAATCGGTTACCGAAATCGTCGACGAAAATTTGTATCCGCACATACATACATACACGCACACACACACACATACATCAATTTTTTCTAAGGTATGCCAAAATGTTCAGAAGGTTTTGAAACGTAAAGATCTATAAAAAAAATTATTTTCGATTTTTTTGCGATTACTATAACTTGCCCTACGGGAAGTTAAAAATTGGGTAAATCAGCTTATATCTTTCTTCCAAATATCTTCCCCACTATCTTCTTAGTGTAAATGGCTACTTGAGCATATCTTTTTAAATTTTTATCAGGCTTACTTTCATGGCAAATCAAGGTCAAGCAATTTATACTAATACTAATCACTTATTAAAAGCACTTTTTACCATATCATGGATTCAATTTGAAGATAATGCGAGAGTTCAAATGCTCCAAAGTGGCAACAGAACATATAGACATTCCGCATACTGCTTATGTTAATAATTGAGAAACTAGAAATTTTCTAACTGTTTGAAATAGGAAAACCAGCTATGGTTTGCTATGTAGCATAACGATCAATTTTTCACCAAAAAAGATATAACGAATGTCCATTTAATGAGAGTTGTCCTGATATTTATAGTCCAATGAAAATCTATTGTGTAAATCATATGGTATTATGTTTTCTAACAGACTGTTAATTTTAACAGAGTCCATCACAATCTTTTAGAATGTCGTAATTTTTAAACATAAGCACATTGAATGGTATTATTTAATAAGCACACATTCTGTTGCCAATATCGAGCATTATTTTCGACATTGTAAATAAAACTTTTGTAATCACTTGTTTTTCAAATATCTTAAAAGCATTGGTATATCAACTGAATTTTATTGGTATTTTATAGACATCATCAGATAAGTCATATTTCATATGATATAGAAAAAAAATTGTTTAGATTAGTTTTTCAGCTTTAACAATTAATCATAATATTTTT